CATCCAAGGCTTTTGTGACCTGGTCGTAGAAGGCTACCAGGTTGGTCTGACAGGACCTGCCTCGAATGAACCCGTGTTGGTTGCCTCTGCTGGCCCCTCCCGGATGTGCTCCTGGATAATTTTCTCAAAGTTCCTCAGGGTTATATTGAATATTGAGGTTGAGGATTCCCCCATTTTTTCCTACTAAAGGCCAGACCAGGGACAGATCCAGAACTCCTTCTCTGTGCTGGTGGTCTTATCAGCAGACAGTACTTTCTTAGATTGCAAGATGCCAAGGGCAAGAGCCACCTCCATGTCGGTACAGAACCTAGTGCTGGGGGCGTTGAATCATGGCACTTGGGTTCCTAAGTTCTGTCATGAAAAATAACGTGTTTTGTGGTTGCATCAGTGCCCAGCATTACAATTCACAAAGGCAGATAAAGAACAGCCCAGGAGTCCTACTTGAATGCCCCAGTTAGTAATTTAGAAGTCTTTTTTTTTTTTTCCGTTTGTTTGACTAGTTTATGAACTGACCCATTCAAGAGGTCCTTTCTTGGGAAAGCAGTGATGAGGAAACTTGTGTCTAAGGCAGTCATTCTCAGCCAGGGTGCCAGGGCACCCAGGCTTGCTGTGAGACCCTTTGAAAGGGTGCCATGAGATGTAAGGAGATAAGCAGAGGCTTAGGCTCAGTCCTTGCCTGACTGTTCACCTGCTTACACTACCTGGCACATCTGGAAGGAGGGTAAGCAGCATAATAAAGTTAGTTTTTGAAACGGGGTGCTGCTCAATTCCCAAAAGTTATGGAGGGGTGCCTTGAGCCTAAAAAGGTTGAGAACCGCTGTTGTAGGGCATAGAAGAATGCTAGTTCATTGAAAGCACCTTGGGTGCTGAGAACAGGTGCACCGAATGTGTTGGTCTGATACCAGTCTCCACTGGAAGCAATGACCGTAATGTCTGCTTGTTCTTCCACAGCAGAGAATTGCAGTGACCTATCCATTTTCGTAGGAAAGAAGTAAAATAAAGTACAGATTAAAGAGGAGAACATGAAAGACATCTAAACCTGTGACTTGTAATTACTGGTTATGTATAAATATTGCCTTTCAAATATGTTTAGCATTGTAACTGTAAGAGGTAATTATAGGGCTTAAAAACTGTTTCCAAAAAAGCTCTCAACTATCTCATCCTATTGCTATAGATGACTAAAAGATGCTAATTGGGTCTCTGGATACAGTGTAATACTCGTTTAATGGCAGAGTTCATTTCACCAAGCTATCTTGCTTTCAGCAAATTTCCTTAGGTCATTTTGAGGTTTTAATGATTTACTAAGAATTTCTTTGTAAACGCACTAAATGTCAAATGTGTGGGTTTTTCCTGAGGAGTTAAAATGGAATAGATACCTCCCAAGGTAGCGGTGTTCTTGCCTCCTTTCATATTCGTATATTTTGTGCATACATTTTATCCTGCCAAACAGCGGTTAGAACAGTTTCCCTTTGACAAGTGGAAATAGCTTGTTTGCCCCTGCAATTGAGGTTAAACTATCCCACAACGTTTGTGCAGGCGCTTTGATTTTTAGATGATGGAGGACAATGTACCCAGTATGAAACATTTTAAAATGACTCCAGGCTGCAGCACTTCCATTGAGATGCTTATGCCTGGAATATGTGCTGCAAAGGCCTCGTTGCAAATAGAAAAAGAGAGGAGCCTACCTCTGATTGTTTGCTGGCAGATGTTGCTGTTTAAAAGAAGGGGCGGAGGGGAAAGATGGCAGGACCAGTAGATCCAAGTGAGTTTGGCTCCCAGATCTACAACTAATTTCCTTGGAAATCTGCAGCAAGTCTCTTAGCCTTCCTTTTACCTCGGCTTCTCCTGTAGGTGCATTTGGGATGAAAGCTGCTTCCCTCACAGAGCTCCTCGGCTTAATCAGAATTAAGAATAACAATCACACTAAACTCTGTCTCAATTTTCCTAGGCTAAGCTTCCAGATTTGCAGCCATTTCCTTCCCCGGATGGCGACACAGTAACACAACATGAAGAACTTGTGTGGATGCCAGGGGTTAATGACTGTGACTTGCTCATGTACCTCAGGGCAGCAAGGTAACTAAAGCCAAAATGCCCCTAGTTGCCCCAAGGATGTCAAGCTGAAATGTGGACTGTAGCGCACAACTATTTGGGATAAAGTCACCCTGCAACCTCTTCCAACAGAGCAGGGATTTTGTCATGCTAGAAGGTAGCAAATTTGCTTTGTTGGGCAACTCCAAAGGTTTTTGGAGGCACAGAGGGATATCACGCTGGCCTGTTCCTTTGGACTCAGGGTGTGTGTGTGCAGCATAGATAGTGACATAGTAGCTGAAGTACGCAGAACGATTAATGCTGTAAATGCGGTGGATAAATCCATTTTTATAGCAGAGAAGTTCTTTCCATAGTAAATATTCTCTTGTCAGCCATAGCATCTATTTCTAGAATTTAGTTAAATATTAGCTAGTCAGTCAGTTGAAACATATACTGACATATGAAGATCAGGTTCCAAAAATAGTGGGCAGGCATTAAACTGAAATGTGAGTGGATAAATAGTCATTCTTCAATTGTAATAAAATAGCGACCTTGTAACCTACTCTTAAGCTGGCAGTCTGGCTTAGAATTAATGGAACTAACATTGTCATGAGAAGTCAGCTGGCCAAAACTGTGCCTTCATATGTATTTGTGCTAATTGAATCACCCTGCTGATTGGGCCTCAGAGTGCTGTCATGTGGAATTAAATCATGATGGTGTCAGCTTAGGTTGAATTTGAAACGCATTTTTACACAGTTCTTCAATACTAAAAATAGCCTGATGCCAAAGGCATGCAGTGGGGCAAAAACAGTTGGCTCTTCCTAGTGGTCACCATGGCAGGTGGGTCTCTGTTACATGGCAGAAATTGCAAGGTCCTGAGAGGAATGTTTTACGCTGCAAGACTTACCTGCTTATTGCTTTATGTGTGCAATTAGAGGATAAAGTATTTCATTTTTGTTTCTTTGACTATAAAGGAGCATGGCAGCTTTTGCAGGGATGTGTGACGGAGGATCCACAGAAGATGGCTGTGTTGCAGCATCTCGTGATGACACTACACTCAATGCACTCAATACAGTAAGTATGTGGAAGTATGGACTCAAAGACTTCCCTCCTGTTGTTGCATTTGAGGGCTAAATAATGCATTTATATAGATAAAATATTTAGTAGCTTTTCACTAGAGCCATGCTATGAGCTCATCAGTAGGCTAGGGCCAGATTACCTCTATGCTGTTGAACACCTTCTAGGAAAGTTTGCAAAACCTAAATACTGTCAGGTGGCTTTAGAAAATGAGTTGATAAATTAATATTCTGTGTTTTAAAATCTGCTTTTGTGAATCTTCTTGGATGAATGAGTTCCCTCTATAATGTGTCTGTAAAACCAAGTCTGTGTCTGACCCAACCATTGTCCCTTTCAGTCATCTTTCTGGCTTTTCTGAGTGAACAAAACCAGTATCTCATTAAGAGGAACTCATTGTGCACTCTTTTGCCCATTGTCCAAAGCAGTGTATGTGAGGAGACTCTCCTTTCTCACCTTCTCTCATTTTCCATGAATCTCTGCTTGGAAGGATGTGATTAGATCTGGGTGCTCAACCCCTGACCCAGAGCCAGATCTGGCTTGTGGAACCATGTCATCTGGCCTGGTGGGCTACCCATGGGTCGGAAAACTTAACGTCGAGGGAGCTATGGTAGTGTTAATCGCACTCCCCTGCGGCCATCTTTCCAGATCCATGGGGAGCCCGGCAGGCCTGATAATGTGGCCCTGCGTACTCGATCGGCAGCATGGGGCCACGGCATTGTGGGGCCCAATCCAGGTGTGCAGGGTCCAAACTTGACAGATCCAGTCTGTGGATTGGCTCCTTTCCACTCATTTAATTTGCAAGGCTCAAAGGTACTGCTGGATTTAGATCATCTTTCTTACTTTTCATGGTCATAGATGCATATACATGTATACATTCTCTGCTCTTAAAATCCCGCAAGTATAGTTAAGGCTATAACTTCTAGCACTGGACTCTACATGGAATGAAGTATTGTGCTGATAATTTTAAATCTGAGGTTTAATTTGGTAGCAGTCTTTTATTCCTGCCCTAAAATAGAAGCTGAAAAAATGGCCATCATGCCAAGACTCCTCTTGTTGATTTTTCTCAAGCTAAATCATCCTGGTGTTTTGAAGTTTCACCATGAGTGTTGCCTGCCTTAAATCTTTTCCATCTCTGCTCTTTCTTTTTTAGGGTCTTTTAAAAAA